TGGGTATGGAACGTACAGGCCATTCCCCATCCCGTCCAGCCCCTCGTTTACAGGTGTGGAGGCTGAAGAAAGAGCTTGTGGGGTCCCCCTGTCCAGACCCCCAGAGAGGGGCTGTGAACCCTCCAAGTCCCTGCAGAGACTCGGTGGCTGGGCTAGCCCTCCAGCTCGGCCTCCAGGCCCCTGGTCCAGGACTCTCGCTGCCCCGCCCCTCAGCCTCTCCGCTGAAGATGGAGGAGGAGGGAGGACCCACTGCTGGGGAATGACCTGACCAGACCGACCATGTGGCGAGGTTGGAGGGGGAGCCCTGGGGGCAGGCAGAGGGGGTGGGACATCATGGAAGGGGCTGGGGGCCGGGAGCCGAGGCCTCGCCGGGCAGGGAGGGGGCACCGGGGCTGGAGGACCTCCCGGACAAGCAGCAGCTGAGAAGAGGAAGGGCCCAGAGCAACTTCCTGCAGGGCCTCCTAGAGTGTGGACCTTGGGGAAAGAGAGAGGGTGGGCATGGCCAGCGGCACCCCGGGGCTGCATAGGTCTGGGCACCTCCAACCCACCATACCTTGAAGGGGCTGCGGCGGGGGGGCCCCTCCGAGGGAAGGTGAAGCAAGGAAAGAAGACGCTGGAGACGCAGCCGGTGGTGCTAGAAGGGCTCATACCAGGCAGCCCAGATTTCACTCCCCGTCTGCTCCTTGGGCCAGTAATAATAACATCAACACCTCTCACTCAGGGCTTCTCCTGGGCGAGGTTGTTTTGGGAGATGGCTCTCTCTATTACCCCCACTTACAAATGAGGCTCAGAGAGGTTAAGGAGCTCTCCTGGGGTCACACAGTTAAACAGTGGCACAGCCAGCATGTAACCACGAGGGACCACTGTCTCGGGGTCCAGCTGTGACCTTGAGCAAAGCTGCCTGGGTCTCGGTCTCCCTGCCTGTCGGATGGTGGGGTTGGACTGGAGGAGCCCCATGGGCCCTTGTGACTCTCGCCTCGGACCCGGAGCGGCCTCTCCAGCGGAGGGGCTCAGGAGTCTGAGGGAGGGGCTCAGGAGTCTGAGGGAGGGGCTCAGGAGTCTGAGGGAGGGGCGTGGGGACATGTCTCAGAACTGTGTCCTGCACCAGCCTGGGGGACGTGGCCAAGCGCGGCCTCTTCCAGGCCGCTCCGTCCACTGAGGGCAGCTGCGTGAGTCAGTGCAGGCACCATGTCTCATAGTGGGCCTGGCACACAGTAGGTGCTCAGTAAAGTGACGGTCCTTAACGTCTGTCAGAGCTCGGAGGCTGCCCCTTCCCAGCCCACCCGTTTACGCATTCCCATGTGCTGGGCGCCATGCTCCACACTGGGGACATGGTGGTGCCCCCACATTGCATGACCTCCCCTGCCTTCGCAAAACTTATATTCTAGGGGGAGACTAAGACCCCCCAAATTCAAATGAGTACCATATGGAATATGCTAGACAGTGTGGTAAGTGCCAGGAAAAAAAAGAGGCAGGGAGAGGGGGGAGGCGGTGCCCTGGGGGGCTAGAATCTTGCACTGGGAGCACCAGAGGGCTTCTCCACAAGGTGACCTGAGAGGCAAGGCTGGAGGGTGGTTGGGGAATGAGCACGAGGCGCCTGAGGGGACAGGGCACCCCGCAGTGGGAACAGCCCCAGCTGAGGCCCCAGGGAGCAGACCGGGCAGGGCTGGCGCGGGTTGCAGAGCCCTATGGTTTGGGAGGACGGAAATCTCCGCCCTGTCGCCGGCTTCATCTGTCACAGCCTCCCGACGTGGCAGGTCCAGCGTTGTCCTCGGGATCCCCAGCCCGGTGCTCCGTCTGGGGTGCCAAGGAAACAGGTGCAAAGGTCAGATTGGAAAGGTGCAGAGGGACTCTTCTTCCTGACCCGGTGCGGAGGCGCCAAACCCCAGGGCGGGACCCACGGGGAGCTGGGGTTTCCCCGACACCTGCTGGGTTCCTACCACATCTTCTAGGTGGGCGGGTGGGTGCGTAGGGTGGGGGCTGGGGGGACTCAAGCTGGCCACACTCGTGGCCTTTAAAGCTGGGAGTTGAGACCCAGAGAGAATCCCGCAGAATCTAGTCTGGAGAGAAGTCAGGCCCAGATGTCTTGTTTTAAAAAAATTTATTTCTTTTTAGAGAAAGGGGAAGGGAAGGAGAGAGGGAGAGAAACATCCATGTGTGGTTGCCTCTTGTGCGCCCCCAACAGGGGACCTGGCCCATAGCCCTGACTGGGAATCGAACCAGCAACCCTTTGGTTCTCAGGCCGGTGCTCAACCCAGTGGGACACACCACCAGCCAGGGCGATTTCTGTGCCTTAAAGTTCCTCAGCTGGCTTTTGTTTCTCCTTAGAGCTGAGCTGCAAAGCTCTTTAGAAGGAAGTTTGGGGTGGTCTTTGAGAGGTGTGGGAAGGCAGACAACTTGGGCCTGCAACACAGCTAATCAGAGGTGGGCTTCCGGAAGCTTTTCCCCCAGGCAGACGGTGGGTGGGGACAAGAGGAGGAGCAGGCCTCAGCGGGGAGGAGTGAGCCTTAAAACTGGACGGACGGCCCAGGGACCTGACCGGGATCTTGGGTTCAACCCGGGTGGGTCGTGCCGCTGGCTACCAGGTGTGGAACGGGGAGGGGGCCCGCGACAAGACCGGGAGGGGGAGCTGCTGGCCGACGTGTGCCCGTAGGCAGGCCTGCGATTCCCTCCACGAGGAGTGGAGTAGCATTTAGTCTGTGGTCCTCTGAGAGGATTCGCTGAGATAGCCTCCTCTCCCCGTGCCGGGGGCGCTCTGCAGGTGCTGGAGCGGTACTCGCCCCTTCCGGACCGGGAGGGCCCGTGATTGAGAAGCAGGACCCAGGCTGGAAGGTTGGGGTGCTGAGGACGGGGGACACAGGGGTGCACCCCACCCCTGCTCAGTGTGCCAGGGGCTCTCGGCCTCGGGCCCCGGCCTGGGCACCGTGTCTCCCTTTCGGGGGATGTGTGGCCTCGGGGAGGGCTGGCATTCCTCGACACCGGAGGCAGAGACCGAGGATCCAGCGTTAGTGAGGGTGGCGTGGAGACAGGTGGCAAAGGGAGGGGCACCGGCAGTGGAGTGGGGCGGCTGGCCTCTGGGACAGGGTCACACTCGGGGGCCTCCAGGCGACGAAGGGAGTCACAGATATGGGTAAAGCAAGCTGATGTGAGGAGACAAGATGGGACCCTTGGGCTGAGACCAGGGAGGGCGGGCGGCCACTGCCCAGGCCAGCCGAGCGTGGTCGGGACCGGTGTGAGTTTAGGCCCAGAGGTGCTGGTTCTCCCAGTGCTGCAAGGAAAGTGGAGGATGTGGACCTGTGACGTGAAGTCTTTCCGTCTGAAAACACTGGGAATCAGGCCTGGCTGGTGTGGCTCAGTGGACTGAGCGCCGGCCTGTGAACCAAAGGGTCGGGGGTTCGATTCCCAGTCAGGGCACATGCCTGGGTTGTGGGCCAGGTCTGCAATAGTAGGAGCATGAGAGGCAACTGCACATTGATGTTTCTCTCCTTCCCTTCCTCTCTCTCTAGAAATGAATAAATAAAAACTAAACAGACAAACAAACAAACAAACATTGGGAGTCAATGAACAAAACAAAAGAAATGAAAGCAAACGCCAGGCTGGCCAAGCAAGTCCACCACCTTGGCTGGTGGCCCCGCCCCTTGCTCCGGTCGAGGTGGCAGTGAGGGCAGACCCCCAGCTGACGGACGCCTGCAGGCCTCTCCTGGGAGGCCTGGCCTCCCTTCTCCTGGTCTCGGGGTCTTAGGCAGGAGCTCCTGGCAGACTCAGCTTCCCCCCCCCGCCCCCCCCCCCCCCGCCGACGGTGGGGAGAACAGAGCCATCTTGCTGTGCTGCCTGGCCCTGGGCAAACCCCTTCCCTCTCTGGGCCAGTTCCCACTCTCTGGCTGACAGCGCCGACTGACAGCGCCGACTGACAGGCTGGTCCGTGGGGCCCCCGCCAGTCTGGGCCCCGCGTGACTAAGTCCCTCCGGCTCCAAGGAAGATGCGGTTATTGTGGAAGCGACTCTTCCCGGGAGCCGCGCCTCCGGGCGTGGGTACAACGCGCTCGCGCTTTGCGTGTCCGGGCACAGCGGCCGTGTGAGTGGACCTGGGTCATAATTCGGAGCTTTGCAGCGACCAGGGTAAACGCACCATTGTTTTAACACCGCTGCCCTGGAACCTCTCATGGCGAGTCTGGAGGCCGGCAAGAGACCTGAATTAATTCTCCCAGCGACCCCGCGAGGGAGGGTCCTTCCCGCAAGCCCAGAACTCAGGGCCGGGACGCGGGCACTGGCGCCACGGCTGCGTGGGGCGCCCCTCGCGCCCCGGGGAGAAGGAGGGTAGGTTTGCGTCGGCCGTGTGCGCGTCCGTTTCAGCTGCAGGAGGAGAGCGGAGGGCGACGGGAAAGGTCTTTGCCTTTGGTTCTCCGTGGGGGGGAGCGCAGCTGCGCCCTGGCCACCTCTCCGGACCTTTTGCCAGCGTCCTTCCGTCTCTTCTGGTCCCGCCACTTCTTTCGCCCCCGAATCGGTCTGGCCTGCGGTGTCCGCAGCCCTCAGGGCCGGAAGTCGGAGTGCGCCCCAACTCCCTAAACCCTCCCGGTTCGCAGTAGCGCGTGTCCACCGCCTTCGGCGGGGCGCCGCCGGGCTGCGGGAGGAAAGGAGACCCCGGCGGGCGGCGAGGGGCGTGAGGACGGCTTTGGGTCTGGAGCGCCCCAGCTTTGCGTGAGCCCTCCTGCGCACCCTGCGTTTCCCGGGTGTCAGTGTCTCGGTGTGCTCCCCGGCCCCCCCCCCCCGAATACCGCGTTCCTGCTAGCCGCCCACCCCCCCTCGCACGGCTGGGGGGCCGTGTTTCCCTGCTGTGGCCCCCCCAGCGTCCCCGGGAGCGGAGGGCGCGGGCCCTTTAAATCCTCCGGGGCGGCGGCGGGCCGGGGATGACATCAGCGGGCGGGCCCGGGGCTCAATGGGAGCCGGCGGGCGCGCGCCGGGCGGGAGCGCGAGCCGGCGGCGGGGGCGGGCGGGCTGGAGGGCCCGGCGGAGGGAGGCGGCGGCCGCGGCGGCGAGATCCCAGAGCCAGAGCCCGGCCGGGGCCGAGCGGAGCGGAGCGCGGCAGCAGCGGCGGCGGCTGGGCCGGGAGAGGCTGGCACGCCGGGCGGCTCCGCGAATCCTCCGGCATCCGGCCCGGCGGGCCGCCCCCGCTCACGGCAGCCCCCGGAGCAGCGGCCCGGCACCGGCGCCTTCCCAGCGGGGTAAATATTGGGAGACCGGGGGCTCGCGGAGGGGCGCAAACCCGGGGGAAACGGGGCTCCCCCCGCCTCTTTGTTTTTGCGCGAGAGGGAAGGGAGGGGAGGGGAGGGCAGGGCAGGGCGGACACCCGCTCGTTAGCGCTCGGAAACCGGCGGGGGGAGGGGGGCAGTCCAGGCGCCGCCCGCTCGGCCCGGCGAGGACAAAGGCGCGGCTGAGGCCGAGGCGGAGGCGGAGGCGGAGGCGGAGGGTGACTATTATTTTGCAGGCTTGCAGGGGGGGAGCGCACCCCCCCCCAGTCCGGCCTGCCTCCGCCTCCCCCAGCGTGGACCCTTCAAGGCCACTGCCCGCCCAGGTGTCCACCTAGGGCTCTGACTTGGGCGCGTTGAGGGCGGGGGTCCGGTGCGGGGGGCACTCGACACTGTGGACTCCGGCTTGTCCGCCAGACCCCGGGCTTCTGTCTGTCTGTCTGTCTGTCTCACCGGACAGCCTGGCAGCGCGTTCCCTTCTCTCCCGGCTCCGCGCTCCGGACCTGGGGGTCAGCCAGGCTGCGCCCGCGGGTGCGATGGGGGCGCCCGGGGGCCCCGCGAGGAGGGGTGTGTAGGCACCCAGCGCCGGCTCTGTTTTCCTTTGTGGAGAGAAAGGAAGGGGTGGGGGTTATTTGTCAGCTCGGGTTCCCCGTCTCTGCCTGCCTGTGAGAAATCCGTGTTTTGCAAGTCTCTGTGGAGCCTGAAACTCTGTGTGCGCCCGGCCGTCTCTGGAGAGAGGATGCCCAGGCTCCTCTGCTCACCCGAACTCCGAACGGGGTGGGCCCCCTCCCCAACTTTCCTTGAGCTTTCTTGCACATTTCATTCTCCGCGCGGCCTCCCTCGGGGGGAGAAGAAGGGGATCCAGAGTATCCAAGTTGCACCCCCGAATGCCTGCGTTTGGGGCTCCTTTGCTTTCTGTCTAGGATGTTTCCAATTTTTATTTTACTGGTCCAGGGTCCAGGTTCCAGGGACCAGGGCCCTGGCCGGGGCCGGGGGTGGGCCCCAGGGTGTAAGAAACTTCCCTGAGCCGGGTGCTTGGTAGTTCGTAATTGTAACTAACTGAAACTCCGAGTCTTCCTGTGGCCTTTTTATTTTTTTCTTTTTAAATTGTTTGTTTTCCCCGCCCCTGCCCCCCATGGGAGAAGCAGCAAAGAACTGGAGAGCCTCACCCGTTCCTGACTCAGTCCCCTCCCGTCCCCTCCCCGAGGCCTTTGGGGCGGCGGTGGCGCTGGGACCCGGGCTCTGCCTGGGGTCTGCATGGCCGGCGCAGAGCGGACGCTCCTGCAGGGTCCGTGGTTCGCACTTCTCTCCTCCCTCCCTTCCCTGCAGGCGGCCCCGGGAGTGGGGAGGGGCTGGGGGTCCCGTGAAGTGTATTTATGTAAGACACGCAGACGGAGGGCGCCGGTATTTATATAACCCGGCGTGGGTATTTATGTAATATAGGATGCGGGTGTATTGAGGTGCCTTTCCGAACCTGCGGCGTCCCCGGCTGCCGCGCGTGGTGTCTGAGTCGGCGTCGGCGGGGCACAGGCCCGGGAGGGGTGTTTGTGTGTGTGTGTGTGTACACACCCGAGCCTCCCCTCCCCCCCCCCGCCCGCCCCCCGCAGCGGGGCTCCCGGTGTGCGCCTGCTTTCCTTCTCTTTCGGAGTGTGCGCGCGGGGTGCTGGGGATGCGAGGTGCGTAGCGCGTGGGTTTCCTGCGATTGTGGAGCGTGTGCAGCTGGCAGCCCTGGCACCTCAGCTGGGGCCGGGCCGGGCGTGGACGCAGAGGTCCTTGGTAAAGAGCCCAGAGTTTGGCCAGCCCTGGGGTGGAGGCTACTTCCTTGCGGCCACTGGGGAAGGGCGGGTGGCGGCTCCCTGCGCGCCAGGTGCTGGGGCTGGTGTCGCCCCTGGGCCGGAGTTCCTGGCGCCTTGCCTCTGCGCCTTGGAGGGCTCCGGCCCGACCATCTGCGGCCTGGACCTCTCTCGTCTCCCTTCCCCGGTGCGGCTGGCTTTGGGGCTAGCACTTGGCATGGGGAAGGGGCAGAGCCTCTGTGCCTGGTACAGCCCCTCTTTGCCCGCCGGCGCTGGCATGCAATGAGTCCTTGCTTGTGAGGGTGCAAGGCCGCCAGGTGGGGAGGCCAGAACCCTGTGTCGGTTGCAGGTGAGGAGACTGCCGCTGCCTTGGTGGGGTGGGGTGGGGTGCGCAGGGGGCATGGCCTCTCTGGGCCTGGGCTTCCAGTCTGCAGACGAAGGCCCCTCCCCGCCCCCACAGTCTTCCATGGTGGCCCTCGTGTAGGCACTCCGAGATCGTGGGGGCCCCTCACCCCTCTCCCAGTGTCATAGTCCAGCGTCCCCTACCCCCCCCCACAGTGGGAGCATCACCTTCCGCCAAGGAGTGTCCTCTTCTGCTGGCCAGCACCCAGTGCCCAGACCTTTGCCCCAGGCCAGAGCAGAGGGGTCTCTGCCAGGGACCCTGATGTCCCACAGGCTTGGGGCGCAGGACAGAGGAAAGCTGTTCGCATCAGCACCCCCCCCTTCGCCCCACCTTCCATCCCCCCACTGGAGCTCAGGAGCTGGGGCCAAGAACCTGGCTCTGGTCCCTTCGCTTGTTCAGCCGCCCTCTTAGCAGGCCCTCCTGAGGGTTCTGGGCCCGAAGGAGTCCAGTCGGTCCCAAACGGTGCATCCGAAGAAGTGTGTCCAGAGCGGCCTGTGTGAGGTTCTTGGTGTCGTGAGGTCGGGAGGAGGAGACGCTGCCGCTTGCAGGGCACCCCACAAAATGGCACAGCCTGGCTTCTGGGGAGAGTGGACCAGGCCGCGGAGGCCTGGCCTCTGCTTCTTGGCACCGGAAGCCCGGGGTAGGGACGGGGCCATGGCGACTCAGTGATTTCTGAGTCCAAGGGAGCTGGGGAGTTTCTTAGGGACCTTCTGTTCAGCTTGCTCTGCCATCCCTGGAGTTGGAACTCGCTGGTGGTCGCCATGGTAGCACCCCCAGGACATCCGCTCCCGCCTGCCCTGTCCCCATCACCCCCCTGTCCTTGATTTCCTTTTCAGGGGCTTGGGCCGTTGTGACTGGGCTGCCCCTGAGAGGCTCCTATTGGAGGGTCCCAAGTAGGGGTCCCCCAGAGTCTCCCCCCTAGGCCTCATCTCCATTGTGCTCTGAGCCTGCCTCAGCCATTGCCCAGATGTGGAGGCTCTCGGGCCACCCGAGGATACCTGGTTTCCCCTCAGGCCAGGCCAGGCTGGTTCCCTTCCTGGACGGTGGAGGGGAGAATGCTGGTCTCCCAGTTCCTGTGGCTTTGGCTGGCCTTCTCGGGGGAGGGATGGGGCCTGCTCCCCACTCCCCGCTTCTCTGACCCCCGTGTTTCCGCTTCCCTCCACAGTGAGAGCGAACCATGGAGCTCCGCGTGGGGAATAAGTACCGCCTGGGCCGGAAGATCGGGAGCGGGTCCTTTGGAGACATCTACCTGGGTGAGTGTGCTCGGCTCCAGCTCGGTGGCTCTGGGGCCCCTGGGACAACTCTGGGGACAAGGAGGGGGGAAGATGCCAGGGATTCGGGCTGTGAAGCTGGCACTCGGTTCCGGAGCTGTGATGGCATGTTTTAGTCACTTTGTCCCCAGGGCCAACCCTGGTGGGGGTGGAAGCCCCGGGCTGGGGTGAGGCAGGCCGGGGGGCTCCTCGCACAGACAGGGCGGGGTCCCTGCTGGCTGCAGCCTGGCGGAGGAGCGTATTTTTAGCTCTGGTTCCGGCTGTGCATGCCCTCGGTCTCTGGCCGGGCGTGGGAAAGCCCAGGCCCGGAGAGCGCCGCGTCCCTCCTCTCCTGGGAGGATGCTGCTGGTGGTGGCCGGAGAGGCCAGGCTACTGCCCCCCCCCCGCTCGGCCCCTCCCCCGCCCTGTGGTCAGGCCCCCTCCCTGCAGTCCGGCCTCCTGGAATTCAGCCCTGGCAGGCTTCGGAATGACGCAGGCTTACCACCTCCCCCGCCCCGCCCCCGCCCAGCAACCTCGGGGGAGGCCGGGGTCCTCGCTTTTAGGATCTCTCTCTCTCTCTCCGGATGTGCTTCCTGTTCAGAGTCTGAGTTTGCGCTCGTTTCGTTGCTTTAAACAAATCACTGACGTCTGACCCTGCCCTCGCCCCCGGGAGGAATAACGAGACTCCTGCCTTCCAACGCCACTTCCAGCCTCCCGAGGGGCGTGGTCATAGGGGGCACAGGGGGCGTCCCCGTTCTCCGCGCACGTGCTCCGTGCGGAGCGGGTGGGCCCCCTTGCGGACGTGCCCGGCCTCCCGTCCCAGCGGCCTCTGGAGACGGCCCGCACTGTCCCCACATCACACACCCAGAAACGGGAGCCGCGTGGTCAGGGTGGCCCCCCAGGGTTCTCCCAGAAACTGGGAAAGGCAGCCCTTGCGCCCCCTGCCCTCTGTGTGAGTGACCCGTCGGGCGGGGAAGACGGTATGTGGGAAGGGGACATCGGGCAGACCTGGGCTCCAGGCCTGGCTGTGCGTGGCTGCTCGGGGCCTCAGTGTCCCCTTCTGGGAAGTGGGAGCGACGATGACGTCTGGCGGACCCAGGGCTGTCGCGAGGCAGCAGTGGCACGGCGCGTGGCCTGGCCTGGGAAAGCGTCGCAACGGCGCAGCGCACTGCCCGGCGCCCGGGAGCGCCCCCTCCTGGGAGGAAGGAGTGGTGCGCGCTGGAGCGGTTTCGGAGGCTTGTCTGAGACGTGCAGCTCCTCCAGGGGCAGCAGGCGCTGGGGCGATTCTGGCCTCGGCCCCGGTGCCCAGCCTGCAGCCTGCCCAGGGTGGGCGTGGAGGAGATGGCTGTCACTGGCTGTGAAAGCGTGCGAAGCGGCCACACTTCCGGCAGGGCAGGAGGAGGTTGGGGTTTGGGGGCAGGTCCGGGTCAGGGCCCCCGATCGGCCTCTCACTTGCTGTGAGGCTCAGGACAAGTCACTCTCCCTGAGCCTCGGCGTCCCCATCTGTGGCGCCCGCGCCGCGTCCTTCCCGTGCGTGCGATTCGGCTGCACGTGAAGGGCCCTCCTGTCTTGGAGGTTCCTGGGCTCGGACGGGAGCCTCGAACCGAGGGGCCTGTAGAGGCCGCTTTCGGTACAGACACACACCTGCTCCCAGACAACGCGCCCCCCAGTGTGGGCCCTTCTTTTGATTGGAGGGAAACTGAGGCCCAGAGAGGGGGAAGGGCGGGTGAGGTCCCTGGTCCGTGTGGTGGGACCTCCCTGGGGGGCAGGACTTGCTGTTTATCTAACTAGTTCATTTCAAAAAACGGGCCAGAGGCGTCCCTGTCATACAGCCTCCAGAGTGAACTCGGCCAGAGTTGGGGCGCCGGCATTTCTGTCACTGGCTGCGTGCCCATGAGCAGGTGAGGGCCTCTGCCCGCCTTGGCGTTCCCTTCTGTGAAATGGGGGCGTGTGGCCTCCCCGGTGGTGAGGAGTGTGAGGACACAGTGTGCTTGGCCCGGCAGTGGTGCCTTTCTGGTTGTGTCCCCCCGGCCCCTCCCTCGGCCTCAGCTGGGCCTTCTCGGGCCGGGGGTGGGGGGTTGGGAAGGAGGGAGCCAGTGCACCCCCGGCTGTCTGGTCTCCGCCAGGTGCATGGGCCCTGGGGGCCCGGTCTGACACAGCGCCCTGCCAACTCCTTCCTGGGCCCCAGTCTTGCTGGCGTGGGCGCAGTGGTGCTGGTCGGGCTTCCCTGGCCGGCCTCGCTGGCTGCCTTTGTTCAGAGCTCCGGCCACGTTCTTGTCGCCAGGGCCAGGGCCAGGGCCGGACTCCAGATGGCCTCTGCAGGTGGGGCTGGGCGCAGCCTCCGGGCCCGGCTTTCCAGGATCAGCTGGTTGGAGGTGAAGACGTCATCGACGCGGCCCCGAGGCCCACAGCTCCTCTTCGGGCCCCGCTCCTGGCAACGTACTGAGGGGACATCGGGAGAGGGGGGCCGGCTCTGTCAGGGCCTCCAGTTGGCTGCTCGAGGTCCAGAGCCGGCCAGGCCTGCGTCCACTCTGCCAACTGCTGGCTGTGCGCCCTCGGAACTCTGGGTCTTTTCATCTCTGGCCCTTGGTTCTCAGTGGGGGGGCAGTGGTGCTCCTGCCAGGTGGTTATGGGGGTACTTGGTCCTGCACCTCCAGTCCAGCCGGCTCCCTGGCTGCATCTGTGTATCTGAGCAAGCCCCAGTGTGCAGCTGGCCGCCCCCTCCCCACCCAGAACTCCCCCAGGCCCCAGACCCTCCAGGGCTGGCCAGGTCCAAGGCCTTCTCTGTGTCCAAGCTTGTTTTCCAGACCGGTCTGTCGTCCCCCCCCCACAGGGCCCCAGTGTCTCACCGCCGGCCGCCTCTGCCGCCCGCACCCCGGCATTTCCCACTGAGTCAGTGAGCCTCGGTTCCTCCCACGGGCGGGCAGCGGCAGAGCCCTGCCGGGCAGGGCTGTGGCAGCCGGCCCCGGGCTCCGTGTGTGTGTGTGTGTGTGTGTGTGTGTGTGTGTGTGTGTGTTGCTGGAATGAATGAGATACCAGGGGACTGGAACCCAGGACAAAGCAGGGGCTTTGGGATGTGGTTTTGAATCCTGGCTCTGCTGCAGGCAGTTCCTGTGTGACCTCAGGCCAGTGAGTTTACCTCGCTGAGCCTTACTCAGCCGTTGTGAGAACTAAGGGAGGCAGAGGAAAGACTGGCAGCTGCTCGACAGGAGTCAGAGGCGGCGGCAGTGGCAGCAGGGCCCGGTGGTGGCGGGACCCCATGGTGGGAGGCAGCTGGGACCGGTTTCCAGCACTTGGTGGGAGTCGGCGGATTGCCTTGCCTAACAGCTGGGCCCTTGTCCCAGGGAAGTTGTGTGGCATTTGACCTTTGGAGTTTCAGTCTCTGCAAACACGGGTGCTTGCAGGAGGATGTCAAGAGGTCATGGGGAGTGAGGGCTCCCCCCCTCCACCCCCCATCTCGGTGAGGGCGCTCTCCCCAGCACCGCCCTCCCTGTGCACGCCTGCCGGATCCTCGGGGCTGAAGGCGCTGTCCCCGCCTGCACCGTGGCCTCGGCCTTGGGTCTCCCTCGGGTCCTCTCTAGTCCTTGCACCAGTGGGTCTCCGCGAAGGGAGGAGGGACTTTTGTCCCATGGGGGACGTTTGACAAGGTCTGGAGTCAGTTTTGGTGGTTTCTACTCAAGGAAGGGGGGTCATAACCGTCAGCTGGTGGGGAGAGGTCAGGGGTGCTGCCCCGCACTCTGCGGGGCCCAGGGCAGCCCCCGCAACAGACCGTCCGTGGGGCAGAGGCTGAGGAACCCTGCGGTCAGGTGTCGGCCCTTGGCCCCCGGAGTCTCGGGCCAAAGGTCAGGGTCTTTGCTCAGCGGTTGAGGCCCAGTTTCTCCCCTGGTCCCCTCTTTTGTTATCATCTTCAGCTGCAATTCAGGGTTCCCTGCACCCCCTCCCGTCGGGCCTTTGCACGTGCTGTGGGCCGTCTGGCGCAGCCCTGATCAGGCAGCAGGAGCCCTTGCAGCCTTCCTTCGTGGTGGGGGGGCCAGCCCCCCACCGCACGCCCTTCCCTGTGTCCTTTCTGTCCACTGTCTGTCCCACACGTGCCTGGGGCGCTGGGACTGGTCCCTGAAGCCCAGGGGTTGGCCGTGGTCGTCCCACCTAATGTTTCTGGAGCGCTGTACAGTGTGCCAGACACGTGGGTGAGCCGGCTGACACCTCAGAAGACCTTAATAAGCTCAATACAGTCACCCTGGTTTACGGGGGCGGGTGCCTGGTTAGGAGGCAGCCGAGTCTCAGGGTTTGGGCTCTGGAGCCCACAGTCCTAACCACTGCGCTCTCCTGCTCTCGTGTGGCGGGGAGAGCGGCACGGCCAGCCCAGGGACTGCAGCGAGCCCGGGCTCCCCACCCTGCCACATCCTCGCGGCCCCTGGAAACGAGCGCGGCCCCTCCCAGCGATGAGTGGTGATGTGTCCAAAGCGCCGCATCGTTTGCCAAGCACTTTCTGTCCCGTTGCTCACTGGACATAGTAATCTACTTTATTTTCTTAATCCGAGTCTCATTTCATGTGGCTCAGAAATGAAAACACACAAAACCAAAAGCCCAAACACAAAAACAAGTTAAGTGAAAGAAGCCAGCACAGAAGACCACATACTGCACGATTCCATTGCTGCGAAAGGTCCAGAATTAGGCCGTCCCTGGAGACAGCGAGGAAATGAGCGGTTGCCTGGAGCTGGGAGTTTGGGGGGGGGGGGCGGGTGGAGATGCAGCGTGGCCGACTGCTCAGGGGTATGGGTGCCTGGGGATGATGAAAATGTTCTAAAATTGACTGCGGTGTTGGTTGCACAATCTTGTGAATAGACTAGAAACCACTGAATTGGTTACATCAAAGGAGTAATGGTGTAGTACGTGAATTACATCTCCATAAAGGTGCGGAAAGAAATGAGAGTGTGTAACACAGTATCCAGGGAGATGCCCTCCTTGCCCTGCCCACCCCACGGGTCCAGGGATACCTGGTTCTCCTGCTTCTTCTCAGTGTTTCTTCATGTAGATACAACCACACAGGGATACATATCATTTCCCCACCTCTTTTTTTTTTTTTTTTAAACTGAAAAGAGCGTGTAGGATACATAGTGTCTTGTACTTTGCTTTTTCACTTCCTGCATCTTTGGGACCTTTCCACTTCTGCACCCAGAGAGCTTCCTCATTCTCTCGCCATTGTGTTCCATGTTATGGGCAGGCCATTCTTTATTTAACCCGTCCCCAGAATGATGGACATTTGGGTCGTTTCCAAGCCTTCGCCGTTGCAAACAGCCTGCAGCGGACAGCCTGCTCCGGGCCTTGTATTCCCAGGGTGCCCAGCAGACTCCAAAGTAGGAGCTCGATGGTGCCAGTGCGGCCCCTGCTGGGATTTACGGGTTCACGCATGGACCCCCCCCACCCCCCGGGGAGAAATGCCCACCGCCCCACAGGTCACAGCAGACATGGAAATTGTCTTGTGGGGATGGATGGGAGGCTTTTGCCAGTCGTAGGTGAAAAAGGGTCTTTCAGGATCGTTTTGTATTTGTCTTACAAGGAGGTAGAGCGTCTTTTCATAGGAGTGAGCCGTTTTATATTCATATTTTTTTTCTCTGTGGAGGGTCCGTTCAGATCCTGCGCCCTGTTTGCCTTTGGGTCTGTGGTCTTCTGCCCCCCGAGCTGTGGGAGCTGGTTGTACTGCAGCAGCGAGCGGTACAACGGCAGCTCTTTTCTGCTGAGTTGAGTTACAGCATGCGCTTCTCGGGACTTCACTTCGGGTGTTTCTGTCCTGGGGAAGGGGTTCCTCTTTTGGAGGCGAGGAAGCCATCTTTATTTCAGTGGCTTGCAGATTTGAAGTTAGAGAACAAGAGTGCCTAACCCCAAAGTTAAAAGGCACTTCTGGCTGGCCTGCTCAGTGGATTGAGTGCGGGCTGCGAACCAAAGTGTCGCAGGTTCGATTCCCAGCCAGGCCACATACCTGGGTTGCAGGCCACGGCCCCCAGCAACCACACATTGATGTTTTTCTCTCTCTCTCTTTCTCCTTCCCTTCTCTATCTAAAAATAAATTTTAAAAAAATCTTTAAAAAAACCCCACATTTTTTTAAAAAGGCACTTCTCCCTTCTAACATTGTATTATTTTATTTTTTGTAAATGCTCCTTGTTTTATTTGTTATTAAGTATGAAGTAGATATGAAGGAACATGTATAGAATGTGTATGTGGTGTCAGGCACCCCCCCCCACCACACAGCCGGAGGTGGGCTTGCCTGTCACCCTGTGCATACCCATGGGCCCCCACGGTGCCCTGTCCTCTGCTGTCCCCTCACAGAGGTGGTCGCTGGTGACATTTTAAACTGCTCTCTTTTGCGAAGGACTTATCACACGTTGATGTCCCTGAACTGTGTACATCCCGGTGCTGCACGTTTTGAAATGGAGACAAACAGAAGCGTGCTTGCATTCTTGTCTCTTCCTCTTTTTGAAAAAACTGAGGTGAACTTCACTCAACACAGAATTAACCATTTTTTTAAAGTTTGCAATTCAGTGCCATTTAGTACCTTCCCAGTGCTTGTGCAACCGCCATCCGAACCTGGTCCCAAAACATTTTTGTCACCCCCCCAAAAAAAAAATCTTGTGTCTGTTAATCAGGTGGACTCTCTGTCACCCCCTCCCCAGCCCCGGGCCCCCGCCAGCCTGCTCCTTCTCCTCCGGTCTCCCTCTTCGGCACGTTCGTACAGCGGAGCCATGCGGCGTTTTGTCCCGCTGTGTCTGACTCACTCACTTGGCATAGTGTTTTTAAGCTTCATCGGTGTTGTGGCTGAAAGTGTGAGTGCTTCGTTCCTCTTCGTGGCTGAGTAATATTCCACCGTGTGGATACAGAGTTCTTTTACTTACACATCCATTGGCGGACTTTGGGGTTGTCGTCCCCTTTTTGCTCTTGTGAATGGGGCCGCTCCCTGCTCGCCTGCACTCGACGTTAAGGCTTGCGGGGGCCACCTGGGTGCTGCGCACGGCTCTGGTCCACCCCTGGTCACCGCATCCCTCTGTACGGCCGGATCACCCTTCAGCCACTCTCCTGCTGTTCGACACTTGGGGCGCCATCGCTGCGTCCACCTTCGCCGTGTCCTCCTGGGGCTCCCGCTCCTGAAGAGCGTGTACTTGGGGGTGGCCAGCTGGGCCTGGGTGTTCAGTTTAACTAGATGAATGCCCACCTGGTGTCCAGAGTGGCTGTGCCAACTTATGCCCCGTGTTTTTTTTTTTAAGATACAACCTGTGGTCCACACGGGTTTCTCCTGGTGTGGAGTGTGGGCTGCGGGGAACTCCTCCGACGGCCAGCCGGTGGTTGCCGGGACACTGGGTGCACGGCCCCATCCTTCCCCCAGTTTGAGGTGCCAGCGGCGTCCTCATCTGCATCCTCCCAGCGGCCGTGTCCCCAGACGGGTGGCTTTGTCTGGGGGTGGGCCGAGTCTGCACTGCTTCTGCTACAGTGGCTCCGGTCGCGGCCGGCCCGAGCGGGGTCGGCCCCTCAGCTGAGCCCCCGGCCCTCCGACTAGGCCCGCCGTCCTAGCTCAGGGGGCTGAGTCAGGGTGCTGTTGGGTTTGATGTTCTGTGTCCAACCCTCGCCCTGCCCTGTTCTCCCCTCCGCAGCCCGGTGGCCCCCACCCTCCAGGAAAAGCCCCCCTTAGGTGGCCTGTGAGCCTTTTGTAGCCCCGCCTGCCCCCCACCTTGAATCCGGCGTTTATGCCGCAGCAGCCTGTGTGTGGCTCTGCGACTCACTGCTCTCTCCTCACCCCCTCCCCCTCGCATGGGGTGCGGTCAAAGCTCTTCCCTCCCGCCCCGAGCTGGGGGGTGCCCCTCTGTGCCCCACAGCGCCCTTGGAGCTGCCCGCCCAGCTGAGGGACCCTGACCCTTGCCTCCCCCACCCCTGGCAGGTGCCAACATCGCTTCTGGCGAAGAAGTTGCCATCAAGCTCGAGTGTGTGAAGACGAAGCACCCGCAGCTGCACATCGAGAGCAAGTTCTACAAGATGATGCAGGGAGGAGGTGCGGGCCTGAGGGGCCCGCTGGAGGGGAGGGGAGGGGCGGGGTGGGGGTGGGTGCGGGGGTGGGGGGTGGAGCGTCAGTGCGGGGTGAGGCTCTGGAGGCCGGTCTGGGGCGGCGAGGGCCTCCCCTGACGCCCCTGCGTGCCGGCCCGCAGTGGGAATCCCGTCCATCAAGTGGTGCGGGGCCGAGGGCGACTACAACGTGATGGTCATGGAGCTGCTGGGGCCCAGCCTCGAGGACCTCTTCAACTTCTGCTCCCGCAAGTTCAGCCTCAAGACGGTGCTGCTGCTGGCTGACCAGATGGTGAGTGCCCCGGCGCCCCCCAGCCTCGGCCCCTCCGTCGTGCCACGGGCTCCTGCCTCTGGTGGATGCCGGAGTGGGGGGGGGCGGCACTGGGGGCCTAGCACGGCCCTGGTTCCTGGACCCAGGGCCCTGGCCTCAGGCTGTGAACTTGGAAAGGGGTCAGCGCCAGTCCCCAGGCCCAACCTCAGGCCTGCGGGGCTGAGCTGCGGGAGTAGGTAGGGCCCGGGCTCTGCCCTCTGGCGATTGGAAGCCCATGGCCGTGCAGACGCAGGCCTGTCCCAGGGTGGGGACTGGAGGTGAGCCCGGGCTCCCCGAGCCTCCGTCAGCTCGGGAGAGTCTGCCCTTCTCGGGGTCACTGTGGGGTCCCGAGTGGGGTCCCGCGTGGAGCCTAGTCCGGAGCAGGCACCCACTGACCAGCCACCCTTAGTGCCTAAAGCCCTTTCTTTATAAGCCCAACGGAGGAAAACCTTGAAAGCATGCAAAAGCACAGACCTTGGGACGCGAGGTGGTGCGTGGGGGTCTGGTGGCACAGGTGTGTGCAGAGGAGGGTGGTCAGTGCCCTCAGGACACGAGACCCCAAGGGGCTGGGAAATGCTCAGCCGCGCCGCCGCCCGAGCCCTGGGCGCACAGCAGGCCGAGGCCCCGTCGGGGCAGCCTGCCAGAGGACGGATTGCGTGCATATATGTTAGTTCAGGTTTTTTTTGTTGTTGTTGTGTTTTAACAAATTGTTCAAAGAAGGGCCTGTGTATCTGCCTGACTGGGGTGTCCTTTGGGAGCCAGGGGATAAATCCTGCCTTTTGTGCGTCAGCCCCATCCCCCTTGCCCAGCGTAGGCTTTCCTGGTGCCCCCTCTCCTTTCCGTCCCTTCAGTCCGGTTGCCAGAGCAACCTCTGAAATGCCTGTCTGACCCGGGCTCCCCGAGCCCTGGGAGGGTGTGGAGCCCGGCCGGAGAGGCTTCCGAAGGGCCCGGATGTCTCTTCCGGCTTCAGTTCTAGATGTGGCCATCAGCTTTCCTATTACCTTACTGTCTCTTCCTGACTCGCAGCAGGCTTAGGGAACTCCTCCTTCCGAGGTCCTCCCTAAGGACACTTCCTCCAGGAAGCCTTCCCTGACCCGCCCCTTGAAATCATCTTGCACGGTGGCAGACATCTCTCTCCCCCTGCCCAGGGCAAGGACCGTGTGTGTGGTTTCCATCCTGACAGCCCCCGTCCCCAGCCCCACCCCGGCCGTCCAGGGCCTGGCCCACGACGCTCGGTGATGGCCCTTCTAGGCCACCATTGCCCCTGGGAGGACTGCTGAGTGACTCTCGGGCCCCTGTCCTCCCCCAGATCAGCCGCATTGAGTACATCCACTCCAAGAACTTCATTCACCGGGACGTGAAGCCCGACAACTTCCTCATGGGGCTGGGGAAGAAGGGCAACCTGGTGTACATCATCGACTTCGGCCTGGCCAAGAAGTACCGGGACGCCCGCACGCACCAGCACATCCCCTACCGGGAAAACAAGAACCTGACGGGCACGGCCCGCTACGCCTCCATCAACACCCATCTGGGCATCGGTGAGTGAGCGGAGCCCGGGCGGCCCCCCGACCTGCCACGAGGTCAGGTCGTCGTCCGTCCCCCCCTGCCCCGCCCCCCGCCCCGATCAGAGGGGAGCTATGGCGTGGGGAGCAGGTGCACCTGCATGACTCCCCCGCAGCGGTCGTGGAGGGTGGGCGAGGAAGTTTCCCCGTTTTCACGGGGCAGGAAACGTAGGTCGTGCGTGAGGCTCTGCGGCTTGGCAAGTGCCAGAGCCGGATTTGACCCCAGCCCTCCTGTCCGATGCCACCACTCGTGCCCTGTCCCCAGGGTGGGCCAGGGGGCGTGGAGGTGCCCCAGTGCCGACTGCACAGGTATGGCACGGCGGGTGCCGGCCCTGGAGAAACGAGGCCCGGGGTGGGTTGGGGAAGCTCAGCCACAGGGCCCCCCCTCCCCTTGCAGACGGAGCAGTAGAGGGCCCGGGTGTCACTGGGGTGCAGCGGCCAGCCCTTGGTGGCCGTGCTGGGCGCACAGGGTAGCTGTCCCCTCAGTCACGGAGCAGGCCGGGAGCCCCCGTGCGCCCTGGCCCTCACCCTGTCCCTCTGTGCAGAACAAAGCCGGCGAGATGACCTGGAGAGCCTGGGCTATGTGCTCATGTACTTCAACTTGGGCTCCCTGCCCTGGCAGGGCCTCAAAGCGGCCACCAAACGCCAGAAGTATGAGCGGATCAGCGAGAAGAAGATGTCGACGCCCATCGAGGTCCTCTGCAAAGGCTACCCCTGTGAGTCACCCGGCGGGGAGGAGACTGGCCTGGGGACCCCTGAGGCCCTTTCTGGGGGGAAGATGAGACCACACAGAGCCCCTTTTAGGCGCCTCTTGCCCGAGACACCAGAACATGCATCGCGGGCTCTCCGTCATGGCTCAGGCCCAGCGGGAGGCCTGGCTGCCAAACACTCAGCATTCCCCAACCCGCACTCCTGCCTCGTCTCTCAGGGCCGAGTGTTAGGAAAAAGTAGTCTTCCCTCCTCCTCGGGCCCCTCTGCTCTCTCTCACAGGGCACTGCTGACCGTGTGGGTCCCCAAAGGTGTGGGATCTCCCCGCACCGAGCTGTTCTCTGCAGCACCCGCTGGGTGTCCCGCCGCTTAACTCGATTAGGACACCATCTCCTTGAGATGGCATCAGATCCCACAGAGTGAGGCCACGTCCTTCACAGCTGTCCCCCCGACACCTTTTAGACGCCAGTTGCAAGCCCACCCGTGCCCCTGACCGACTGGCCAGGACTCTGAGGGTGCCGTGGCTCCCTCCCTGAGTTCGGTTAATTTGCCGGAGTGGCGCACTACTCGGGAGACACGGGCACCAGTTTATGAGAGCATGTGACAAGGGGCACGGACACACGGCCGATGGCGGGGCACACAGGATGAGATCTGGGGGGGGCCAAGTCCAGGAGCTTCTGTCCCCGTGGAGCTGGGGTGTGTGTGTCCCCCCCCTGCCCCGGCCTGGGCATGGTCACAGTCTTCCAACGCAGTGGAGGCTTGTCATGCCGCCACGATTCATTCTTAACTCCATTTCCAGCTCCTGTCTTCTCTAGAGAAGTTGGGGGTTGGGGAGGGGCTGCAAAGTCCAAGCTTCTAATCTAATCGTAGCTTGGTCTTTCCGAGGACCAGCCCCGCCAGGAGCTCACCCGGAGTCACCTCGTTAGCATAAGAGCTGTTCCTCACGCCCTTAGCACTTGGCGTTCACGAGGCTTCAGGAGCCCCGTGTCGGGGGCGGGCTGAAGACCGAACATTAGAACAAGGGATAGCCTTACCACGTGGGAAACCGCAGGTGTTCATGGAGCCCAGGGGCGGGGCGGATACACGTGCTGGCTGTGACCTTCCAAAGACCCCCACCCCCACCCCTGATTTTCAGGGGAGGACGGGAAGTCTTCCTCTGTGGCTTAGAGCCCGTTGAGAGTTTCCGTGGAGCTCTTGACGGGCCTTGCAGTTTATGGCAGCTGGAGTGCGTGACAAGGGCCCGGGTGACCTGCAGCACCTGCGCGCTGGGAGGGGACGCTGTTCTCACTCTTCGGCTCTGACCGTCAGAGGCTCTGCTCGCAGGCCCGTTAGGGGGTCGGTCACAGGCCCGTTAGGGGGTCACGCCCAGCGGGAGGGCCGAGGTGCTGTTCTGTCTTCTACCGCACCCCCCACCCGCCCCAAGACTGAGAGTATTTGTAGGGATAGAGGGAGGTCTGCTGGGGGCCCCGGGAGCGCGGGCCTCACGGCAGCCGTTCTGTCCCCGCGCCCCCCCGCCAGCTGAGTTCTCCACATACCTCAACTTCTGCCGCTCGCTGCGCTTCGACGACAAGCCCGACTACTCGTACCTGCGCCAGCTCTTCCGCAACCTCTTCCACCGGCAGGGCTTCTCCTACGACTACGTCTTCGACTGGAACATGCTCAAATTCGTGAGTCGCCCGGAGGCCGCGGCGGGCTTGGGGGGCTGGGCGGGGCAGGCCCTGACCGAGAGGGCCAGAGTGACCCGGTGGGGGGCGGGGCTCCCCCAAACCGGGAGCTATGAGCTGGACTGTGCCAGTGACTTCGCTGGGGCCCCGGAGCCCCCTCGCTGCCCGCACTCCTGCTTCATCGACGCCGACAGCCTGCACCGCTGTGGTCAGCAGGGCCCAGGCGGGGCACCGCCCCCCGCCAGTCCCAGGAGGGCCTGGCTGCGCCTCCGGTCCCTCCTAGGCGCCCGCGGCTGGGCGTGGACGGCCCTGGCGGGCCCCCCTGCTACTGTCCTGATCGTGGCCTACACTGCCCTGCTCTTGTTGTTCTGCACGTCCCAGGCAGCTGCCGTCACCGTGGCCCCTCTGGCCGGCCTGGACCTGTTCCACGTGCTTGCTTTCTTCCTGGTCACGGGACCCTGGGCCTTGCTAGGGGGCTGTTCCGTCTCCCTCTTTTAAGAGTCTTGGGGGTGGGGTGGGGAGAAGCAGTCGACAGCCGTGCCCCGAGCTCTGGAATCTCAAAGCATGTGACTCGTTTCACGTCTCTCCCGGGAAAGGGGGCGTCCTCGAGCCAGGCTCGGCCCCGTGGCAGCGAAGCTATGGCCCCACCCTGGCCCTGGCCCTGTGCTGGGCCCGCGCACTCGCCCACATGCTGGTAAGGACCCTGCGGGGCCTGGCGTTTCCAAGGGCGACCGTGTGGCTGGGTGAGCACGAGAGGCTGAGCCTCTGCTGTGCCTTCTCTGTCCCTTCCAGGTGCCCGGCACCCCTGGGCACCCAGGGCCCTCCAGATAGGCTGGTGGAGGAGGTGAAGGAGGTGGAGGAGCCGCCCCCCCAAAACTGCTGGCCTGTGGTTTGGACTCCAGGGCCCCAGTTCTGATCACACCAGGCGCGCCTGAGCCCATCGGGGCCAGGGCTGAGGAGCTGTTTGTCCCTGGGCGCGTGGTGGGGTCAGTGGAGAGGGCACGGCCGAGATGCCCTTGGGGATGAAAGCGGCTGCCCGACGGACAGAGCCGGAAGGAGGGATGACGCTCACTGCGCTGGAGGGGCCTGGGGTTGGGGGCCAGGAGCGGCGTCAGCCAGACCCCTCAGCGGCCTCCGTGTTCAGCTGGCGCTCATTAAACGCCCCCCCTGCACCGCACCTCGTCCCAGCGTGGCTCTTTCCTTGTGGTGCCCTCGGCCTACAGCTCTGGGTGCTGGGGGCCTCGTGCCCCCTCTTCTCTGGGCCCCAGACAGCGGCCTTGTGCGCGTTCCCTCAGGAGCGGGACAGAACTTGGGCAGAGGACGGGGCTTCCACAGGCCAGAGGCCCCTGTGGGAGGGAGGGGCTTGGAGCTGGGCACCCTTCACTCAGGCCTTCCAGCCGGGCCTGCGGCGAGGGCCCAGGGCCAGCTCTCCTCGCACGGGGCGCCGCCAGGGGAGTTGGGGCGCGGGTGCTCGCTCATCGTGCAGGGAGACACTCCGGAGCCCGGTTCCAGGATGGGCCTGGCCCTTCTTGCCACGGCACCCAGAAATGGGTCTTGCGTCGCCCAGGCCCGTGTCACTCATTCAGTGTGGCGGACACTGGCCCCACGGGGCTCAGTGTCAATGAATTAAAAACCAGTCTGCGCTGAAAATGTCACGTGTCCATTGCATTTGCTCCATTTCAAGTTCCCAGGAGCCACCGGTGGCCGGCCAGTGGCTGCCGTGTTTGGCGAGGCAGACGTGAACACGCCCGTCACGGCAAAGGTCTGCGGGACAGAGCGCCCCGAGAGGGCTGCTCACAGAGCCCCTCACGGGACCGTCCGGGTGACACGAGATTCCGTCTGGAGCCCAGCCAGGAGCGGCCGCCTCGCGCCCCTTGCTGCCTCTGGGGTCAGGCTGAGCAGAGGCGCTGCCGGCCTCACGCCGCGCTGACCTCTGACTCGAAGGCCATCCGACTGGATGAGGGGCACCTTTCAGCCCGTCGCCACGTGGGGAGGGCGACCACCCCCAGTCACCCTCTGGCAGGAGCATCTGCGACATGCGATGGGGGCCGACGTGCCTTTTCGGCCGGAAGCCAGGGCCCTCCCACGCCAGCACCGCTGCCGGAAGCCCTCGTGAGCTCCCAGCAGACCAGACACCGCGCAGGGCGCTATGGCCTGGACCCTCCTGCAGGAAGGACCCCACCCTTGACCGAGAGCGTCCCTCCTCGGAGCAGTCGCCCCGGAGTCTCCGGCACCTGGAGCCTGGGCTGCTGCCCGGCTCAGCCCCTGTCTGGAGGTCCAGCCGGCTGGCCTGGGGAGACGGGGCAGACGACGCACACAGGGTGGCACGGGTGGCAGTGGCTCTGCCATTTGCCTTGTGTGTGTTTGTGGGCAAATAAAAGCCACGAGACCTGCCTGCTGTGTGTTCCTTGAAGCGTCACTTGGGCTGATTGGAAATGTGGAAAGGAGCTCGCCTTCAGCCCTGGGGCCGGCCTTGGCCTGGTCCGAGGGGTCACAGAGGGCAGGGGCTGTGCTCTACCCGTGCATCTCGTCACGTCCCCACCCAGGAGAGGAGTTCTTGCCTGCCAGCAGGAGGGTTCACGAGTGGGTGCAACAGCTCTTACGGCCCGGGTTCCGCTGTGGTTCTGGCCGCGTCGCTCTCCCTGCCTCCCGGAACTGAGTGGCTGGGGGCTCGGGGAGAGGCCTGGAGGTCCGGAGGTGGAGCCTTGGTGGTTCCGGGCCTGCCGGGACAGGCTTGTGAGTGGGAGGACTGGGGATGTTCGTTTCTGGAATGTTCTGCTCAGTCCTCAGGGGTTGCAGCCAGCAGAGCAGGACTGGGCGGCAAAGGCCCGAGTTCACACTCAGGCTCCGTCCTGAGCTGTGTGGCCCCAGGGAGGTCGTGAGGCCTCTCTGGACCTCGGTGCCTCCGTGGGACTCCGGGATCGTTCTGACCCCAGCTGCTACCCCTCAGAGTGGCTCCAAGGCAGGGGCACCCCACTTTCCCAGGACAGCCGGGCCTCTCCGGCCAGCTCCCTGGGGAGACACACGAGGTGGCAGGAGCCGCACCCCGGGGCCCGGGAGCAGGCCCCAGCTCAGCCCGCAGCTCTCTCCTCCACAGATGCGGCCCCCCTCGCGCCAGCCCCCCGCCCTCCCCCGTGGACGACCCCAGGACCGGCTAGGTAACGCGGCCAGGCACTCTCCCCACGCCGCGCTCCTCCCCCTGGGCCCCGCCTCTTTCCTGCTGTGCTGGGGGTGGCAGAGGCTGGATGGCAGGCCCTGGGGGGCTCACGCACCCCTTTTCGCCCCAGCCTGCCTGCTCGGTGGTGTTTTCCTCTGTGGGGCTTCCAGCCCAGTCCTCTTCCAGCTACCCTGAGCGCCCGTCCCAAGACGGGCAGCTTCTGTGTGGTGCTGTCCCCACGGTGCCTGCCAGGAGCCATTGCCAGGGACCGGGATGGACAGCCTTTCAAAAAGGTCCCCTCACTGGGAGGCCTGGTGTGCGCCCTGGCCTGGCCTCAGCTGGCCTGGCCTCGGCTGGCCTGGTAACCCTCCCTGGGCCTCCGAGCGCCCGCCCTGCTCCACGGGGCAACCTGGAGGAGCTGAGGCCTTTCTGTGCACAGAGGGGGCCCGGGTTGGGCCAGCCAGGGAGTGCCCCCGGCCATCCCGAGGGCATCAGCCCCCCGGCCCTGGCTGGCCACACGAGACCAGGACAGAGTGACCTCCCTCCGCCTCCCGCGTCTAGCTCTCTCCTTCCTCTGGGCGTTTTGTGGTGTTCTCTCTCTCTCTCTCTCTCTCTCTCTGCTGTGTGATCGTGGGTCCTTCCCAGGCCTCTCGGGCTGCCTGCTCTGTGGGAAGGAGGCTGGACCGGAGGGTTTGTGCGGCGCCTCTTCCCCGGTGTGCCCACCTGGCCTCCCCCACCCCTGTGCCGCCTCGAGGGGATGCCGGGCCCAGGGCACTCTGGCCGTGCTGGGCTGACCGGGCCTCACCCTAACCCCTCCCCACAGGGCGCGGCGCGCAACCCCGAGGACGTGGACCGGGAGCGGCGAGAGCACGAGCGCGAGGAGCGGATGGGGCAGCTCCGGGGGTCTGCGCCCCGGGCCCTGCCCCCGGGCCCACCCTCGGGAGCCCCCGCCAACCGGCTCCGCAGCGCTGCCGAGCCTGTGGCCTCTACCCCAGCCTCCCGCATCCAGCAAGCTGGTGAGCAGGGACCTCGGGCAGTGGGCGGGGCCTGTGGGGGCAGGGCCTGCGGGGGCGGCCTGGACCCGGAGGGTGACCTGGCCCTGCCTCGCCCTCCAGGCAATACGTCTCCCAGAGCGATCTCCCGGGTGGACCGAGAGAGGAAGGTGAGCATGAGGCTGCACAGGGGCGCCCCTGCCAATGTCTCGTCCTCCGACCTCACTGGGCGGCAAGAGGTCTCCCGGATTTCAGCCTCACAGGTGAGCCGCCCTCACCCCGCTGTCCTGTGCCTCACAGCTGAGCCGGGGACCCCCAGGTGTGGGGTCAGGCCTGGTGATTCTGGTCCCCACCCTGGAGCAAGAGCCCTTTGTTGAGTGGGGACTGGGGCTCCCTTAATCCAAGCAGGTCTGATGGGCCCCACGGAGCAAAGTCAGGAGTAACTTGTCCCTGCATGTGGGAGCACTGGGGTCCAGCGGCCGCCACCTGGAACCCCACCCGGGTGGGCGGCGGGGAGCTCACAGGGGGCAGACTCAGAGCCCCCGCCCTTAGGAAGCGCCTGCAAGTCCCGGCTGGCAGGGGACGCAGGGCTGGGCAGAGCCTGTCAGTGGCCCCTCTCAGACGCCGTGTTGGACTGGGAAAGCTGCGGGGGGGGGGGGGGTCCTGGTTGACCCAGGAAGGTGCCCTGGCATGGGTGGGCTGGAGACCTGCTCCGGCCTCCTGCCTGCGGTGGAGAAGCCTCAGCAGGCCAGGCCAGGAGCCGGCCTCGCGGTGGCTGGGCCACCCTCCTGTCCCTTGGGGCCCGGAGCAGCCGCTTTGCCCCTCTGAGCGTCGCTCTCTTGTACAAAGCGGCTGGTTCCTAGGGTCATGGAGACCACACACCCCTTCCCTTGGCTCCAGGGCCTTGGCGGGGGAGGTGGAGTTCCACGGTGGGGAGACCCCTGCCCCGTGGCCAGTGCCGGCAGCTGAGCCCCGCCCCGCCTCCCTGCTCCCCCTCGCAGACAAGCGTGCCATTTGACCATCTCGGGAAGTGAGGAGGAGCCGCCGTCGGACCAGTGTTCTCTTAGGTGAGTGGGCGCTGCTGCAGGCGCGGCCCCCGGGGGGAGACCGGTGCACGTGGAGGTGCCCAGAGAGTCGCCGATGGTGTCAGAGACCCCAGAACCGAGGGCCTTCGAGGGGGCTTAAAACCTCAGAGGCTGCCTCTGAGCAGGCCTGAGCCACAAGTGTCCGCTTTTGCCGGAAACCACTTTCCCTGTCCTGGAGCCCCCCTCCCCGCCCCCCATGTTGCCTTCCCGTGTTCTGGGGAGTTGGTTCCCAGCAGAGACCGAGCCTGAGGGCCCGTACCCCGACCTCACTGGGGCATTGGACTCGTCTCAGCCTCTGCGCTGTCGAACCCTTAATCATCAGAGAGCGCTTAGAACGGGGTCACGTACTTCGGGGTTTGTCTGCCTTCAGGGAGGGCCCTTGGCCTCCACATGCCCAGGAGAGGCCTCTGGCCAGCCTGAGCCTCTCGGGACGCCCAGGGCTGCGTGAGGCCTCAAGGTGGGGGGTAGTAGGTCTCCACTCTGGGTCCGGTTTGAGGAAGGGGAGGTGGTAGGGGTTCTCTGGGGGGATGTCGGGGGAGGTCTGAGCTCCCTGGGGACATGGCGTGACAGGCTTGGCCTTACACCCTGAGAATCCCGTGGCACAGACGGAGCCGGGACGCCTGTGCGTGGCAGTCGCGTGGTGGGGTGGCTACTCTCCCGGAGGGCAGAGGAGGGAGAGAGACTGTGTCCTTTCTGTGAAAACAGAGCACCTACTGTGTGCCCCAGAGGTCGGAAGCAGGCATGCCTCTGACCTGTCCTCTTTCTCTCCTTTTTAGTGTCTTCACTGTATTTTCTTTTAAAAACACAACCAAAAGATGGGGGGAAAAAACCACTCAAAAGAACATAGAAGAAAAAAAACCCAGCACAAGAGCGACGATGGATTCTGTTTCTTTTCTTTTTTCCTTTTTTCTTTTTTTTTTCTTTCTTTTTTTGCCAACGGCAAGAAGACGAGATGCCCTCGGCACCCAGGATTCTCGTCCCTCGCAGTACCCGCTGCCTTCAGGCCGCCAGAGGGTCCCCAGATGCTGGGCGACCATGCCAGACGCCACCAAGGGGGCCCCGCCCCAGCCGGCCAGCTGGGGAGCGAGGCTGATTGACGGCTGGGCTGGGCAGGGCGCAGCGCGGCCCTGAGGCCCCTCCCAGCCGGCAGGAGCCCCGGAGCGGAGCGGCGTGACCATGGGGTCGGTTGGGCGCAGGTCCCACCCGGCATTTCGTTCTGGAGCTTTGGAACCGCAGGAGACGAGCACAGCCCCCTCCCCGCAAGGTGGTGGGGGCTTTCTGCCTGGGCTTTTCCCAGTGTCCCCCTGAGTGTTTGGGTCTTTCTTTGCCTGTGCACAGGGACTTAAGTGGTGGGGGCCAAGACCCCTTACATGCGTGTGTGTGTACGATGTGACCTGTATCTCCCAGGCCAGTGGGGGCCCGCCCCACCTGCCAGGCTGGGTCTCTGTTCTCGTCCCCTGAACAAGGACACGGGATGCGCAGCAACCTCTGTGTCTCCCAGGAAGGGCACCAGAGTGTCCTTGCCACTACCACCAGCCCCTCTGCCTGTCGTCACCCTGTGGCAACCCTGTCCCCCTCCTCTGGAGACTCCTCCCAGAAAGCATCTGGCTCCTGGGTTACAAATGAATTAATTCCCTGGTTCCGACCCTCCCCGGGGGCCACCACCGGTCCTGCACCTGCCTCTCCGAGGAGCAGCCCGGGGAGAGGCCGGGCCTGGGACCTGCCCGTCCCTCCCAGTTAACGCCCCTTCTCGTTTGTGTTTGTTTTCCCCGTGTGTGTATTTCCTAATTTATTTATCTCCATCTCCCCTTTTTTTCTTTTTCTTTTTTTTTAATTAAAGAGCAAAGCTTTTTATAACTTTGTAATTTAAAAAAACTGAAAAAAAAATACTGAAGAACTTTGGGGGGAATTTTGTACTTTTTTCCTGTGTAAATATTGGACTTTTTTGAGCTTTATTGTGGTTGTTAATTTGAAGTAATAAAGTAGAAAAGCATAAAGTGACACACAGCCCTCGGTCGCCTCTTTGCTCTGGGGCGTCTCCCCGGCAGGCGAGGAGTTGGCGGGGAGAGCGGGGCTGGGGGTTAAACCCGCACTTCAGAAACCGCACACAGAACCGCCTGGGACAGGTTCTGACCCTGGAGGGCTGGGCTGGGCTGGGGCATGAGAGTCTGCACCCCAGCAAGCTCCAGGGGACGCCCACAGCCCAGGACCATGCAGAACAGGAAGGTTCGAGAGGCTCTTCCCAACATTCTCTTGTCCACACAAGAATTCTTGTTAGGCCCTGGCTGGCGTAGCTCAGTGGATTGAGCGCAGGCTGTGAACCAGGCATCACAGGTTCGATTCCCAGTCAGGGCACATGCCTGGGTTGCAAGCCATGGCCCCCAGCAACCACACATTGGTGTTTCTCTCTCTTTCTCTTTCTCCCTCCCTTCCCTAAGAATTCTTGTTAGGTCTGCTCCTCTCTGCCTTTGTGGGGAAATAGTCAGTGGTGAAATGACTGGGTCAAGGTCACGCAGCTCTGATGGCAGAACCAGGATGTGACCCCGCCCCCCCACCGTTGACCAAGGATCCCTACAAGCGAGGGCACTGAAGTTGGGTTTCAATAGCGCCCTTTCCACAGGTGACCTTGGCAGGTGACCTTGGGTGGCTCCTGCATCCAAGCCTTGACCCTGGGTCAGCCCCCCACCTGGCGGGCTCTGCGCGGTTGCAGTGGGCATTCTGAAGCCCTGGGCGTAACTCGAAACCCCTGCACTGAAGGCCCTTTCCAGTGCTGGCGTTTGAAGACCCCGTGACCCCACAGCCTGACTCGGCCTCCTGAAGGGTCTCCTGCCCACCCTCCAGGTGAGGTTTAGGCAAGGGCATGTCCTCGTCTACGGCCTTCAGGGACAGGGGCCTGTTAAGCCAGGAAGTGCCCTAGGGCCCCGAGGTGAAGGCTGTGAGTCCCAGGAAGACCTTCCAGGGGTGTGGCCGTGAAGATGGGAGTCCGGTCCCAAACCCCTCCAGGCCGCCGGGCCACCCCACCCCCCAGGGCCTCACTGGCTGGACACCTGACAGGAAGCACTCAAGTGTGAAGCTACCGACTTCTTTTTCCTTAGAGTGTATCTCACTGAGGAGGTGCTGTCGGAGTATAGTGCCCACAAGTCACTTGAAATTCTCTCCTCTGCGTGGTCTTTATTGATTTCAGTGAGTTCGTGTGTCCCCTGCCCCCTCCCCGGCCCCGCCTGCTTTTCAGGTTAATTTCAGTGTTTGGAGATTACATGTACAAAAATGAAGCTATAAAAAAAAGTTGGAACCACTAGTCCTGGCCAGTGAGCCTCAGTTGATTGGAGTGAGTCGCGGGTCCGACTCCTGGTCGGGGCGTGTACGGCAGGCAACCGTCAGTGTTTCTCCCTCTCCCTCAGTGAGGGAGCCGAACAGTCAGTCACCAGGAAGTTTTGCCCGCACTGGAAGGGCAAACATGCCACTCGGTGAGTCATTTTCATTCATGCAACAAACACCGGTTGGGCTCATGTGGGGTGCCCGGGGTGCCAGGCGCTGGGCCGAGGGGGGCGGGCTGCAGGGCTGAGAAGTGGGGAGCACAGGGTTGGAGACCACAGGGCCAGCTCAGCCCCTGTGACCTTGGGCGTTGTCTAGGTCTCGGTTTTCTCCTCTTGTGCAATGGGGTCATTCCCACTGCAGAGGGCGGTAGGCTGGGTTCATTAAGAGCCCACTGTGCCCAGACCTGCCCCCAAGCCTGTGCCCATAGAAACCCCGAGGCAGGGGTGTTGTGGCGCCCATTTTATAAACGAGAACACTGAGGCACAGGGAAGGCTGTGTCCGGCTCCACAGTCCATGGAGTGCTCCGTAGTGGTCACTACATATTTCTTTAAAACAGTTTTTTTCCATTCATGGCTGGTGTGTGGCTCAGCGAATTGAGCACCAGCCTGTGAACTATAGGGTCACAGGTTCGATTCCCAGTCACGGCACATGCCTGGTTTGCAACCAGGTCCCAGTTGGGGGTGTGTGAGAGGCAACCAACAGATGTTTCTCTCCCTCCTTTCCCTTCTCTCTAAAAATTAAGGAAAACTTAAAAAAATTTTTTTCAATTACAGTTACTGTTCAGTACTATATAGTTACAGGTGTACAGCACAGTGATGGAGACATTTATGTAACTTACCAAGCTATCCCCCTGGTAAGTCCAGTTGTTACAATGTTGTTGGCCGTGTTCCCTGTGCTGCACTTTGTATCCCCGTGACTGTTCATTAGTAATTCCTAATCCCTCACCTTTTGTAACTACTGTTTCACACACAGGGCGTGGTCTCCGCTTCTTCCAGGGGCTCCCAGCCTGGTGGGGGGCAAGACGCAGACCAGCACAGGGCTCATCCCGATTCAGAATCCAGCAGACACTGGGACAGAGAAGGCAGGGACTGCCTGGAGTCATCAGGGGAGGGGTTTCAAAGATCTTTGACCTGAGCCTTGAAAGGGGACTCTGCTGGGGTGGGGGGCAGTCACTCGAGCTGAGGAAAGACCGCCAGGTGCAAAGGCCCAGAGGTACGAACTACCTTGATAGAATCACAGTTTCAAGCACGGGGGGAGGGAGAGATTCTCAGCAGCCAGGGCTAGAGGTGGACTCGCCGGGCTTCCACCTTCTAGGACCTGCACTGTGGGAGCCATTGGCTGGGGCAGAGGGCATGATGGTTGTCAACCTGAAGAATGGGACATGGCAACAGTGGGCGGTGAGCCTGGAGGAAGGAGAAAGGCAGGGAGAAGGGTTGGAGGGCAGGGCCCCAACCCCAGCAGGGGCATCCAGAGGGGAGGGTGATCGAACCGGTTCAGGACACACTCTGTTCTTAGCCAACTGTGGGAGAGGAAGGAGGGCTGGGGCTCTGTGGTTACCGGGGGGCACCCGGGTGCGTTGCAGGGTGGGGGGTGGTGCATTCCCGGCTCCAGACCCTAGAGGGGCGGCGAGCCGGGGAGGGGCAGGGCCGGGAAGGTGGGGCTTCAGGAAGGAGGGTGTGCTGAGCGGCCTCAAACCACAAAGCAGGGGAAAGGGAAAGGGTGGCAAGAAGAGGTCCTGGCTGACCATTTTTGCCCTGGGACCTTTTCTTCCTAATTGACGTATAATTCAGAGAGATGTGCACATCTCCAGCGCCCAGCTCCACACAGCTTTTCGCCTGTTTCTATGCGTCTGACGGAGACAGGGGCGGCGGTCAGTACTCCAGCCAGTTTCCCCCGGGGTCCCTTCCTGTGCAGTGTTGCCGCCCCCTCCACCCCCCACAAGACACCACTGTTCTAAATTCTCCCAGCAGATGACCTCTTGACTGTGGGGGAGCTCAGAGCAGGAAGTGAGAAGGGCGGCCCGGGCGCAGGGGGGTGACAGGAAGAGGAGGGCCTGAGCAGGGAGGCGCCCCAAGTTGGGCCGCTGGTGGGAGGGGGCCTGAGAGGCCTGCAAGTATCTGGGGGCCTAAGAACCCCGGAGGGTGGGTGTTAATGACGGGACAGCAGGAGGCTTGGAGGAGGGGGTCGGGGGAGACAGGGAGAACTCGGCCTGCCTGGGACACGGGCTGAGGCTGAGCCTCTTCTGAGCTCGGTTCAGTCGCCTGCCCTGTGCTTATGATCACCTGCACAAAATACAAGTCCCTCGTGTCATTGGGCGGCTCCCTCTGAGGTGGTGGCCTCCGCTCTCCGTTCCTACCTGCACTTTGACGTCCCACCAGCAGACCCCCGAGGCCAGCTCCAAAGGGACCGCTCCAGCACAGCTTTAGCAAAGGGAGCACCTCTACGCCGCCGCCGATGCGCTGGCTCTCTCTCCCCTCCCCCACCCACACTCTGGTTCGGAAACAGATATGGAAATAGCATCTGAGAATGCTGAGCCCACACATCGCCCCACGGGCGGCCCCAGAAACACATCGAATCGTCCGGAGGAAGGAACACACTCCGAGGGCCAGCCTCGCCCTGCCCGGCCCTCAGACATCTCAGCTGCGCTCCAGCCACCCTTCTCTAGGGCCCTGTTTCCCTGCCAACACGTGGGCTGCTGAGGGAGAAGAGGTCTGGTGTGCAGCCTAAATGTTGCCATGGCGACATGGAGCCACCTTCCGCTCCTCCTCCTCCTCCGGCCTGCTCTGGGGGCCCCCCACTTCTCTCATCCTAGCCTTGGGGCGTCAAGAGCATCTCTCTGTCCTCCCGACTGTCCTTGTAAGGCCACACCCCAGAGCCCACTCAGGTGCAGGAAGCTGCCCATCCAGAGACTGGCTTCCCCGAGGCTGCGGCGGGCCCTTGCCGGAGAGGCTGATGGGATGGGAGCGCAGGCCATCCGGCAGGCAGCCACGGGGAGGGGAGCCGAGGGCCCAGCCCGGGGGCACTGCCCCTTTAAGGAAGCCCCCCACTCCCCTACCCCCACCTCACCACAGTTCCCCCAAGACAGTCACTGGGGCTCCTGCAGGCCCTTGGGAGAATCTCAGGTAATTATGCCTCCTAAGGCCTTTCATGGCAGCATCTTCAAAGCACTCGTGATGAAGGTGGGGCCCCTTTGAAGTCGTCCCAAGTCACTGGAGCTCTGTACCTGGGACGCCCAGGCCTCTTGCTTCCTCCTCCGCTCCCCTCCTCCCTCTGATGAAAGCCTCTTCGAGAAAACCCCGGAGAAAACCCCGGTCTCGGCCTCCCCAGCCCCCTGCATGCGCCTGACCAGCTGCCGACCTCCCTGTCCCCAGTCAGGGCTCCAGGGAAGGGGGTGCAGCCCGGGGTTCCCTAAGGGATCTGGGACGCGCTCCTAATGCTCCAAGGAAGCTGGCAGCATGTCCTTCTCTCTGGCCCGTTTTCATTTGCTTGTTTGTTTCGGCTGGTAACAAACCAGTTGGGAGGGGAACGCCTCTCACCTGTCTCAGGTGCAGGTGCGTGTGTGGGGCAGACAAAGCACAAGCCCCCTCTCTCCGTGTCTCCAGCTCAGGCTCTTCCACGGCACCCTGTAAATCAGTCATCGCCAGCCTCGTCCCTGATGCACACACGCACCTCCCATGCACCCT